GAGTGGGGATCAAAAGATTTTCCAAAGCATGATGATAGTATGTTTTAACTGAATAATTCTTGTTTTGGTAAAATGTCAAATTCGAGCATCTTTTTGTGGTAGACGGAGGATGATCATTTTGCGTATAAGATCCACCGATGTCTCCTTAAAACAGTACTTTAATTTGGGAACGTGCCATTCAACCTGTCCTTCTTTAATGAAAAATGAAACCCTCGAAGAGCTATTGAATCCTTGAGCTCTTAGTTCGGGAGGTGAGGGCTTTTCTGACATGATCCAGTTATCTGAGAAAGTATCTATATCCTTCCCATCTCCTACCTGCCACCACATTCCTTGGAGGAGATGTTCTCGTCCAAACATAATGCTTATCCACCCCCAAGAAGGGTTAGATCCTATAGAAACTTCTAAGATTGTGCTTTGATTGAAGTACGTACCTTTCTAGATAAGACTTGGAAGGGAATAAGGATTTGTCAATATACGCCAACAAAGTTTAGCTAAAAGAACTTGATTAAGGCTAAAAAGATTCTTGAATTCTAACTAGGGATGGCAACAAAACCCGAACCCACGAGTACGCTACCCGACCCAACCCGGTCAACGCGGGTAAACCCCGTGTTGACGGGTTTTGGGTTGGGTTTGGGTTTAAACCCGCTACACCGTTCACGGGTTGGGTTTGGATTTAGGTATACCCGCCCCATGGGTACCTGCCCACACCCATATAATTAATTTTTCCGTTATATTTTCTAAGCAATATATATCTTCCTTAAACAACTAATTTTCTTTATGTTTGTGGAGACATGTCTAATTTGATATTATGGAGTGGAGAGTGAAGAAGTTTAATTGACAAGAAGGAAGAAGCTTTCAATTAATCATCTTGTTTATAGAAGTTTATCTTTAATTTTGAACAATTTGTATTGATAATTTGCGGTTTGCTTGTATGCTCTAGATTAGTGTTTTTTGTATCGATAATTTGTATGAGAAAATTTATGTTAGACTTTTATTTTGAATGAAACTTGTTATCGTAAATTTTTTGCACAAAAACCCACGGATACCCATAAACACGCGGATACCCAGCGGGTTGGGTTGGGTTTGAGTTATTCAAACCCAGCGAGTTTTACCTCGCATTCTTTTGGAGGATAAACCCATGGGTTTGGGTTTGACAATACCCGCCCCAACCCGACCCATTGCCATCCCTAATTCTAACCCCTCATGAAATTTACTTTGAGCTAGCCTTTTTCAAGAAACCCAATGGATTGGATTGTCTCAATTGTGAGAAGATCCTCACTAGAATCGCATTGCATGACCATTCATACGTCGACAAGTTTCTATCAGGAATTTGAAGTAAGATATGTCGTGAAGTGATAAGTTAGTTACTGAAGTTCCGATAAGAGTATCTTTAACAACCTTAAAAAGTGCACGTTGTTTCCATCCTTATATTTTTCTACACAACTTTTCCTCAACAAATTGGAAGCTATCCTTTTTGGCACAAGGAATATTGGAGGGTAAACCAAAATAAGAGTCATGTTCACCAATAAACCCTATGCCTAACTGGATGCCATTAGAATAGGCTTCTTGACTAGACTATTGCTCCAAACTTCTACGTTATGAAATATATATCTACACATAATATAATACACCGAAGGGAAAAACGGGAGCCCCATTTCAAATTTCCTGCAACGAGAGTGAAAGTAGGAAGGACATTTTGGTCTTCACAATTACTTTTTTTTAATCATTAAAAAAGTATGTACTGGGATTCGAACCATGACTATTTTAAAGAAAGGCAAGGATCATAACCAATCACACTAAGTACATTTGTTGTATCCTTTTAAATTAAAAACATATAATAGCAGGGTGGAAAAAACTCTTCCCCCATTTCAAATTCCCTGTTCCATGAGCGTTTGTAGGAAGGGTAAAATAGGGAGTGTCAATTTTTTTCTCTTTCCTCTATGGAACGGGCCAACTTACCGTACACATGCGGATTTAAACGAGTCCAGGAGTGTCAATTTTTTTCTTTATACCCTTTTATTTCTCCGTGGTGATAAAATATATATGAAAAGGCAAAAATAATACTCCTTTTTATTGTTAAAAATAAAAAATTTAACAATAGACTAATGCATGGTATCTAATGGGCTAACCGCTAACCATAAAATAAAAGAGTTGAATGGGCCTGATCTACATGGGATTTGGTCATCAAGTAAAACAAATGAACATTATGGGTTTGCCATTCTAAAACAAGCTATTTTCTCTGGCATAATATATATTATGCTATTATTTTATATCTTAGTGGCTAAAATATAATAATGTATATTAAAGTTATTCAATGGTTCAACCTCGACCAACCCAATTAGTCCAATTTTTATCATTTTAAATATATATTTTATAATTATTTGACATCATAATGATCAAATTATAGTGTATTTTATAGGGAATCGTTTGGTATTTGTTAGTAAAAAACTAAACATAAAAATCTATTTGGTTATTTTAAACATTAAAACGATCCTCAACATTTTCAGTTCCTTTTGAATGTATATGGTTTTATTCCCGAATAAGTGATGTGCAAATGGCGAATTGTAGTCGTCTTTTTTCTTTCACTATTTTTTTATTTTCAAATAGAAAGTTTAAAAGTAAAGAATAATTAGAATTTGGCATGGGTCGGTCAAACAGGTTCAATTTCAAGTTTTGGCCCATTTGTTTTATGCATTGCAAATTTATTAGCATGTTGATGGAAATGGCTTGGAAAAAAGACATATAAGTTGTATCTTTGCAGAAATGTCCTCAAATGTTTGAATGCTTTGTGAATCAGGTTCTGTGACTTTTGTGATGGTGTATGTGCTTGACGATTGCTCGATGTTGTAACTACTTAATTTAAGAGTAAATCTTTTGACTTTCCCTATGAGTTGTGATACCAGTTCTGGTGGTTGCAGCATGTTGTCGTTGTTGGCCTGTAAAAGTTGTTCCGCCGTGATGCTAAATACCTTTCCTTCTTTTTTAACAAATTGTGTAGTTGTGCTATGAAACAGACCACCCATGAACGCTACGCTTATTGTTCTGTTCTTACTTCCGGTGGTGAGAAATTATGAATTGAGAATCATATTCGCCTACCGCACTGTGTCTGGTTGGTGGCTGCTTACTGTGCTCTCTAGAGTTATGAAACAGACTACCCATAAACTTTACCCTTAAGAGTTCACAACTTTGCGAAAAACCAAATATAGGCAATCAAAGGTGGTGGATGTGTGATGATTTTTTATGGCTTAATTGTTTGTGAATTAGATATCTGATCTTTGTATGATTAGAGGGGATGTTTGCTTAATAGAATAATCCATTTTAATTCATGTTTATTTTTAACATGAACTTTAGTAACTCAAAACCTTCGAGACACATATCACCTACTGCATTGTATCATTTTGCCTGGGTGCTTGCTGTGTTGTCAAACTTCTTTGCTGCTGATGCATTTACACTAACAGGGGAGTTAAGAAACCCATGAATGTTTCCGTTTGACACAAACAAGAGGACTTACTTCTAAATCGTGCACTAAAGATGATTGGAGGAAACATCTCTGTTGCAGTTGATACACTGGAGACCATAACAAAAGCAACGTATAACATCAAAACCAACCATCTGAACTATTAGCATTGTTGCTTTACTCTTTTTTCGTGGTTGAGTCTCCTTCAAAAAATTTAGTTTGATTTTAGAAAATTTTGCTTCTGCAGTCCTGTCTTGCCACCAACGCGTTCAGTAGATGGAGATGGCAGAGGCGAAGGCTATTTTGTGTTGTTGTTGCTGGTTTAGGGATCGGTTTGTGAAGAAGAGGGAGAAGAGAGGGGGAAAGGGAAATGCATGAGAGGGGGATAACTCTTTTCTCCGACAAAAATGGAGTGAAGAAAGGAATTATGATCAGTAAGGAAATGGTTATCTTACATAACTGTGTCTATTCTGTTTGAATTGAGCTTGGGAGGTAGTGATAAGGACGAGCTGCAACCAATTCATAGTGATAAGAGTGCTATGAACTGTGATCATGTCTTATTTCAAGTTAGAAGGTAGTTTCAGTATAAGGATTATTTAATTTGTCAAGTTGTTTCGTCCATGATTCTTGGTAGTTTTAGTGTCATTCTAGCCATTGTTTAGTCTGTAATTTTTGAGAATTGATGTGCGAGTAATGACTTTCACTTAGCTTCAACTATTATGTGTGTATTTATTGGCATGTGATAGAATTCTCTTTTCCTTATCTTTGAATTCAGTTTCATACTCTAATTGTATCATTTGTACATAGGCAAATCATGCTCGAGATGACAACTCGCTGATATGGCTGGTGCAAGGAATGAAGCCATCATTAAAATTCAGACCGACAACGGGGAGGGATGCCCAGGACTAATTCAATGATGATTGATGATGGTATGATAAAAACTGCAGTCTGCATCAGCACCAATTTCTAGGCCTAAGTAAAGTTATTCAACCCAGAACTCTGCTTAGCGCTAAAAATTGCCCTCACCCAACCTTTATCCTGTTTGACCCACTTCTGAAGAGTCAAGATATATTACTAATTCTCTCCGTTCGTATTTTCTTATTGGCTCTTTCTGACCCTTTAGGTTGGGGCGGGTCGGGAAGAATCGGATTAGTGGGCCGGTCCTAATCAAGTGGTCACAATCCCTTCACTCTCACTTGCTTTCTCTCCCATTCCACAAGTGGGTAACATACAGTAATCCGGCCAACGAGCCGGGTAATAAGCTAGTTGAATTATTAGGGGGAAAATGCTGAGCCTTTCTACATACACACTCTCTCTCTGTAGATCGAGTGTGCATGTGTTGTGACTCAGGAGAGAGAAAGCTGAGGAATGGAAGAGTAGATAGCTTGCTCTTTTAACATGACAAAGTTTCCCTAAAAAAAAAAAAAACATGACAAAGCCAACAGTTCAGCAACTCTATCTCACTCCTGTACCGCCTCTCCCTCTCTCACTAACTATAAGGCCTGCATATAAACTCCCATAAACTGAACCAACTCTTGATCTTAACAGAAAGAGGAAATGGCAATCAAGGGGAACTTCAACGGTAGCAGCAGCAATGGTTGGACTGGAAACAGCAACAGAGGGAGGCCTTATGGGGTAATGCTGCTGATCGCATTCGGTGCTGCTTTGCTTGGAGTTCTAGTGGTTCACAAGCTCAGAGAAAGGCGCATCTTCAATCTCCTTGTCACTGACAAAGAACAACACCTCTACTCTCTTCACCTTCTCTTGCAGGTAGGTAAACACAACCAAAAGAGAAACCTATATCACCCTTAAAAAAAAAAAAAAAACACAACCAAAATGAAAAGAGATTTCTTTCTGACTAACTTCATCTGCACTTCTGCCACGTCTTGTTATGTGAAAAGAGATTTGTGGAGTTGCATAAACTTGAGGCCTTTTGGCTTACTTGCTGCGGACTTAACCCCTAAGAAGATTCATTTATAATAAACTTACACAACTACTTCTAGTGGGCTTCTCTCTCTCTCTCTCTCTCTCTCTCTCTCTCTCTCTCTCTCTCTCTCTCTCTCTCTCTCTCTCTCTCTCTCACAGGTAATTAAATCACATTGTCTAGGAAGACCAACTTTGCTGTTTTTCTCATATCTGCAGAAGGAGCGAGAACAGAGCAGTGAAATGAAGAGAAAAGCTGAGGACATGAAGGCAGCGGTCCAGAAAGTGACGGCTGAGAAGATGGAGCTTGAGAGGAGAGTTGCGGAACTGCACTCCACCATCGATTCCCTGAAAGAAGAAGGGAAGGCCTTGGAGATTGCTCTCGAGGAGAAACAGAGTGAGATCAAGTTGCTGGGAAGAGATGTGACTTCTTCAGAGGGTGGAGACAAGGAAAACAATCCCCAAGTTGCAGCAGCTCTAACTGAGAGTCTGAAGCAGAAGGAAGCTGAAAATCAGGACTTGAAGAAGCATCGTCATCATCATCACCATCACCATCGTGGGGTCGAAACCCCGGTCAAGGTCTGGAGAGCGGGTTCGGATGAGGATCCTTCATCAAACCCTCTTTCAACCAATGGAACGAAGGCAGCAGACGATGCAGTAGTAGTAGGCCAAGAGAAGAAGGATGATGCATCTAGGAAGCTATCTGATGTGGAGAATAATGGAAGTGTTAATTGGAGGACGTTGCCCAGGGAAGAAGGATTATTGCCGGCGGCTGGAAGCAATGGTACTACTTCTCAAGGTGAAGCCGAAAGGAAGAGGAAACATTTCCACTCGAGAAAGGCTGGAGGAAAGAAGTGGAGGGTGGTTGCTAGAAACAGACGGTTGGGAAACAACAAGATGAACAATGGAAATGTCGATGGAGAAGAAGATGAAGGGGACAAGAGAAGTACTACTTCGATCGTCAAGGAAATAGCAGCAGTAGATGAGCAGGGCGATTCTCCGGTTGATCAGTTATCAAAGCCAGAAAACTCAGAAGAAGCTCCACTGAAAAGGGACGACAGGTTAGGCAAAGGCACTTCCAAGCTAGAGGAACGCAAGGTGCTATCTCAGACTGATGGAGTTACTACGGATGGAAGCTCAAATAATGCAGTCAATCATGCAGATTCGATGCATAAGGAATCAGAGCCTGCTCCAGATTCATCAGATCAAGAAAGAGACAGAGTATAAAGACGAAACAGACCCATCCAAGGTCTAACAGAATGAGATCTCCTGATGTTAGTCTCTGAAGTTTTCAAGTGGAAATTGTGAATCAATGAATTTCCCTGCTCCTAAAGTTGCTCGTATTTCTAACAATGTTTTGGATGGGTCAGGAGAAAATAACAACCACTTGCAATGTTCATTGAGAGCAGAAGCGGTCTCAAAGCTTTATAGTTTGAAATTGAACAAATCTGTATTTTTATTGGACTTGCAAGGTAACTTCTACTGACATAAGATATCCAAGCAAGATAGTATCAGAAAAGTCATGGAAATATAGGAAATGTCAAGTATCAAAATGTGAAGGGTTTATTATCCATCTCTCTAAAGGAGATTCAAGTTTTCCCACGGTTAATATAATCATCTGTTCTAAAAAAATGAGAGTAACAAACAGCTGGTAGGAATCCTCAGTGAAGGCCAACTGAATTCATTTTATTACCAGGAACCACCGGAACTGAAGGTGCTGGACCTCAGTGCTTTGCTTCTACCAACTGAAGAGAAAATTCAGGTGTGAGGGCAAAACCGAAAATAAGACAGGAAAACAAACCATACAATGTCACAAATATGTTACAGATGCTTCTTATCGTTTGGTCTAATAGTTCAAGCATATCAGAAGGCCATTGCACTACGTTACAAGGTTGCAGAGCATTTGTGTCTAAATGTTTCTAACATCTAAGGCGGTGCTAATGAAAATTGGAAGACATCTCTTGCAACAGCTCTTGGAAAAAAGAGAATATTGTGAGAAATGTAAAGAAAGGGATACAGTGATAAATATTTTTGTATTGTTTTCCCATCACGTGGTCTGGAAATTCTCAAGAGAACAAGACCAGCCACAATACAGAACGACAGAAAAAGAAGATAATCGAAAGGGGAAGCCGCATATGAAATTACAAGCTCAAATGTAAGAAAGGGAAGTTCTCTTCAACCTTCAACAGATCATCTCAGTATATTGAACTAAATAGAACAAACAGGTTACGATGGGAAAACAAGGCAGTCAAGTCAAGCTGCCATGCTTACTGTAGTGAAAATCTAAAGCTATCATTAAAACATCAGAAGATAACCGATTAATCATGATCTCAAATCCAAAAGTAAGAGACCAATTAAGTTTTTAAGCTTTGACCCAAAACACTAAAATTACATCAAATAGAAAAAGAATGTTGCTTTTACGTCGAAGTCAACACCCACATTGCAAAAGAATAAAGCAACTCTCACATTGAAGGCAAGAGTAAAGTTACCTCTTCCTTCTTGCCTTTGGTAAAAAACTTGTAGCTCCCACCGATGAGGAGAGCCCAACCAGCCAGAGACACAATTACAAACTGCAAGGAGAGGAATTACAACAAAGAATCAATACAGTTTCTTTCATCAACCAATGAATGTGCTATCAGTCTCACATTTGCTTTTCTCCTAGCAGAGAACTCAAGCTGGCTTATAACCTTAGCCCATCTTGGTTTTCAACCCTAGGAGCAAACTTCACCATGATACAAACTCTAGCAACACAATGCACGAAATTCTGAATGAAAAGCCAAGCCGTGAACGATTTAAAAAGCTTACGTGCTCTTCCTTCCACTGAGCTGGATTCGTGGGTTGACTCCAACAGTTAACCTTAGGTGGCCCATGGTGATCTGCCAAACAAAAAAAATGAAACGAATCAGTCTCCCCAACTTTTTCAGTTCATCCAACCCTGATCGTGATGCTGAAAAGATAGCCCTAGCCAGACAACCCGTTCATTTTGATTTCTTTTTCTCAACGACCAAGGAGACGGTAAAAGAATCGGGAAATGCATCTAACAGCCAAGTGAAATTTTCTCATATTTGGATCTACAAGACGATGATAATGGGGGTAGAGATTACCTGCAGCGCCGGCGAGGCCGCGGCGGGGGACGAGAGAGGCAGCCTGAAAGGATGTAGTGGGGGATGAAACTCGGCCGAGGGAAACTACTCGACGAGCTGCAGCTAGTGAGGCCATCGCCATGTCTCCCTGAGCGATTTCGATAACCTAGTGGGGAAGAGGTAGAGATCGTGAAGCGGATCGAATTTGCCCTCAGCTAGTCAGCTTGGAAGCAGAGACGGGGAAAAAGGATCCCAAATCACGATTACTTTGCGAGTTAGACCAACTCCAAATGCAAGCCCCAAATTTGGGGATCTACGTCCCCACATTTGGGATTCATCTCCATTTTTCCTTCTTTTGCTCCAATGCTAGTATTTGGAGATCTCCATTTTTTAAAATTTTCATTTACTTAAAAATGTACTTATCGAATTCTTAATATAATTTGTTCATATTAATTTTTTATAGTTCGTCATCATTTTTAAATACAAATTTTCCGGTAGGAAATTTTTTTAATTTTGAGACCAAATTTTTGTTGACAAAAAATGATTGACCTAATTTGGGTTTACACACAACACTTGAAAATTATTGATCTAATTAAACTCCTAACTAATCCCCTAATTAAACCCCAATTAACACTTAAAATCTTAAAAAGAAAAAGAAACGCCACGTGGCGGGCTTTGGGGAGTCTCTATATTTGGGAGAACCCCCATTTCCAACCCCAAATTTGGGGATCATTTTGGAGATCTCCCCCAAATATAGAGGCTCCATTGGAGCCAACTTTCCCCCAAATATAGAGGCTCCCCCAAATATAAAGGCTCCATTGGAGTTAGCCTTAGGGCAGAACCGAGCCGGTTACTGGATCGCCAATGAATCCTCTCGGTCGGTTAAACTTACTATAATCGGGGACTATTATGAAATCGGTTAAACTTGATTGATTTTCGGCCTTTAAATAATATGTCGTCGTTTTATATTATAAGTGAATTTGATTAAAAATATTAGTTTGTGATTTCTTTCATGAATGTGAAAGTTAATTTTGGGTTGTTTGTTGGATTCTAAGTATAAATGTTTGAGTGTTGACGTTAAATATTGTATTTAAATATGAGTATTGGTTATTATGTTTGGAATATTGTATTTATTTAATTATAAATTGAAATTATCTTCATGTAAGTTTAATTTCACATTCAACATATTTTGTTAAATTGGTATGAACCATTATAAACAGTTTGTGCCATGGACGAACCATACCACTTTCAAAACCGATGCTTTGGTATAAACTGCTTGACAACCTTGATCTACATAGGACCCATTGTGGCTTATTAGTTTGACTACTACGATTCGTTGTCAACTAGGGATCACAAATGGAACGAATTTTAGGGGATTGTGTTAGAAATGGTATAAGATATATTATTGAACATCTCCCAACAACTCGAGTTATTGTGACCAACTCGTTCTTGATATGGTATCAGAGCCTTTGTGGCCTAGAAGTCCTCTATTTGAAATCCGGTGACCCCATTTGTGAAGCACATAGTATTCTCGTATTCAGAACCTGTGCACACGAAAGCGCTTATGAGTTTATTGCCTTTCATTTGACGAGTTTGTTAGTGAGTTGTATAAAATCCATTACTGAACTCTTCCAACAACTCGTTTATTGGGACCAACTGGTTCTTGCCAGATTCAAGCGACCCAACCTAATCAAAGAACATAAATTTTGGTGTTGATGTGTCTTGGATTGGATGCTAATAAAACCCCCTTTTGGTTTTTGCTGGTTGGGTTGGTTGCAAGGGGTTCGCTAAAAGCTAACATGCTTTTCACTAGGGTTGGAAGTTTGGTACCAGTATTTGGGATATTACCGAATACCGTATCGAAATTGTTGATATTCGGTATTATCGAATACACGTATTATGTCACTGGATTGGGATTGGATTTCAGTTGTAATTTGGTTTTAGGGGATTAAGGGATTGAGATCGGTATATACCAAAATACCTTATCAATACCGAAATATACGCTATTGTGTTTTTTATCATCCCAACTAGAACTCCTCACACACTACTAAAAGACCTCAACCGCCAAGATGGTCACTTAATTATACGTTAGCTCTTTCCCTCATTATTTGACAACTCATATCAAACTCATTTTGTTACTTGTAATATGTTTATGAGTTGTTTAGTTGTCCCTCGTTTCAGCTAGTCATTTTAGTCATAGATGATATGGATTTGAATTTGTTTATAATTAGTGATTGTTTCACTAAAAAGTAGTGTAATATGTTATAGCACATGAACGGTTCCGCAAACGGTAAACTAACAGTTTTGTAAACGGTAAACCATTGAAACATCAACCACTAATTGTTCCGGTTTCGTATCCAGTCTGATTCTGAAAAGCATTGACTATACCCATCTTTTCCCAGGAAGGATCAGTAAGTTTGAAACAACAAGAACCAGGAAATTATGGATAACTGGAAACAATAATCTGAAGTGAATTTAAGTGGAGTCTGCGTTACATTACTACAGTATCAACTCAGTAACCTACTAGAACAAATGGCCTAGAGACTGAGAAAACACACAGGGCCGGTGAATAATGGACATTAATTCTACTGGAGAAATAGATAAACTTCTGTAATGTATCTGACGTGAATAATCCTTCTTCTAAATGCTACACTACAACAGAGCCACTTTTACAACCATCACCTGTCAAGTTAGCCAGCCAAAGCCATCCCACCCACCTCTTACACTCCCTCAAATACCAAACAAAAGGAAAAAAATCGTGCTAAGTGTAACGCCTCGAGGTACAAAAATGTCTGCAACTTTCTAAAAGCCTCACCCCCATAAAAGAATCAATGGAAGTTGCACTGCTGCAACAAAGGATGAGAGTAGTCCACAAACTTCTCCCACAAAGGCTTATACTTCTCCATCCCAATCTTCAGCCATGGCTTCGAGTTCCCATTGAAATGCAACACAGCTCCTTTCTCGATCAAATGAGGGTCGACATTCGTGTAGCCCAATCCCAACACGTGCCACGTGGGATCTAAAGGCTCAGTCAACCCATAGAAGGTCAGGAGCCCCGGTGGGAGGGTCCCAAGTTTCCAAAGCGTCCGGTCAACATTCTTCTCCTGCCAGTAGTGGTATATGGAAGTGACATTCCTTTTCCTCCACTCCACCAAATCAAACACATTCATCCCAAACGCCCACCCACAAGCATCTGGGTCAAAATGCTCTCTTATGAGCGGGTGGGAGTAGTTCAAATACTTATGGTACCTGTGAAATGTCTCCATGCATGTCTCAACAGCCCCATTCACATTGCCATTCAAATCAATAGAAAACAGGGCAGATAGATCTTTCTGAACAACGACATCATCGTCGAGAAATACTATCTTCTTCAGTGCAGGAAACACTTCCGGGATATAAAATCTGAGGTGATTCAGCATCGATAGGTACTTAGGATTCCTGAACTTGATTGGAGTTTTCTCATCATCATGATGACCCGAGAAGTAGTAGCTTTGCGTTTCAGCATCCTGAAGCTGCTTCAGAACTGGAACATAAGAAGCATTCAGCCACTTGAAGTCTTCAAATTTCTGAACCTCGACAGTCACTCCTTTAAACTGGTTTGTACCAAACCAGGCCGTCATTGCAGCATAGTTGATTTCATCAGTTACTATATGGAAGACAACTCGATCTGGATTCTTTGAACTAATGGACGTTGAGTTGATCACCACTGAAGTAGCAACAATGTTATCCGAGAAGACACAAAAATGATTAAGACTGTTGTCTTTGAGTTTGGCTTCCATTTGCATTCTCTCCTTGATCTTCCGCTGTAAGCTCAAGTTTCTAAACCACTCGGTAGTCAACCGTATACCGATGCAGTAAAGACCTTTTGGAACTTCTTCGGCAGCTATTTGCCCATATTTGGAGCTCTTCTCAGTCACGGAACTCATCTGTTCTTCCAAACCTTGAATCTTTGCTTTCAGTTTCATGATCATAGTTGCACTATCGTAATGGAGTTGCTGCCCTTGGAAGAGTAGAAGTGCCATGTCACGAATTGCAGTGTCGGATTCTCTAGTGGTTAAGGGGACCCGCCTAGTTGCAGCACTCGAGAGAAGGACTTGGGAGTTTCGTATTTGAGCACTCAGCTCCCAAGCAAATTGGAGATTGTTGCTCTCTTTTGCAATCACCACAAATGCTTTGGCAAGAGATATTTGGTCACTGAGCTGTCTGGTGACGGAATTGGGACTCAACATTTCTTCCGTGACATTCAGCCCTTCAATGACTTTCTCTTGCCTGATAGAGTTCTGCTGGAGGGGAGTAAAATCAGAACAGAAGCAACAGAGGTGAGAAGCCATAAAGAGTTGAACAGAAATAGTTAGGCTTAGGCATACTGCAAAAATATAGGCTAGAGAAAAGCGTTCAATCCGGTGGAAAAAAAGAAGAAGCATATTTCATCTCTACTTCACTTGTTTGAAAAATATATTAAATCTTTAGTGAACTATGAGCTTATGTGGAGAAACATAAGGAGCAACATTGTTCGTCTTATTGCCAGGTTGAAGACACTGATTCTGCAATTCAACAATGATTCTACAACTGCATGTACTTGATGTTCAACAACCTAATTTATCACCCTAGAACATTACAGCATCTTCTACATCCTAATGAGTGTTTTATGCGTTATCATAGCTTTTACAGCATCTTCTATTTGAAACAGACATTAACTTTCATAACCTTTCACAATTCTTCCATTTGAGATTAATACAAAAAGTAGATATTTCTTGCCAGGTTGCATCGTTACTTCTGTTCGATGTCAAATATAGATCCAAAGAATATAAATCAATATCTATACATATGACAAATTCATAAACTTATTATTGTCTGAATTTCTCACACTTTTCCTTCCCAAACCAATATCATAGGCCAAAGTTGTTGCAAGAACATCACGATCATGACTGCTATGGACACAACTGAATCTCTATCAGATATATTAAGTTCATGATGTTCTTGCATTTTTAGATGATATATATTCTACGAGTCAGTTGAATATAAACCTAGCCTGCAACTCCAATTTTCACTGACGAATTACATAGTACATACTCCCACTTTTGTAATGGTCGTGAACGAACTAAAACGACATATAATATGCGTAGGTTTCCCTAATCCTGAGGAAATCCACTCTCCAACAACGTGTCAGACGAAGTTGACTTCCTTAAATATAAGAATTGAAACCTGCTCTGCAGCCTAATGGAGATTCAGAAACCTAACCATCAGTAAAGATAAAGCATGTTATA